ATGCACCTACGTACAGATTAAGATATCACAATACCTATAGTCTATGAGACGCAACTATCTCATCCCGTACGTACTAGTCTTGATACGTTATGACGTCCGTATTATCATAAAGTGCGACTAGGGAAATTCTAGACATAGCCTTCATCAAGAAGTAACAGTCTCATAATCAGAACATCGTAGTCCTCATCTATGTTACTGAAGCGCTATCGTCTATGGACTGAAGCTATGTTATGTTACACGAGATATAAAACATACTTCAAGGCCTTTCATTCATGATAAAGTGTACAGTTACATAGGTATTTGATTGCCGCTAGGGCACCTAAATAAAACAATATATATATATATATATATATATATATATATATATATATATATATATATATATATATATATATATATATATATATATATATATATATATATATATAGACACACACACACACATATATACATACATATATATACATATATATAGACACACACATACACACACACACACATATACATACATACATACATACATACAGACACACACACACACACACACACATAGACACACACAGATATATATATATATATATATATATATATATATAGACACACACACACACACATACATACATACTTTTTGGTCCTCGATTGCGGCTTGTGATTCTTCTGGCGTGCACTTTCTTTTAGTGTGCTTCGTTCCGGTTGAGTTTTCAGAACCGACTCTAGCCCCAGACTCATCGATGAGGTTTGGGTTTTGAAAAAAGTCGGATTATTTATGTACGTTTGGTAAAGCAAGCTACATCGCGTACTTATTCGGCGAAAGACCAAATGCATGAAAAAAATAAACAAAAAGTAAGCTATGAAAAATGAGTAAGAAAGAGATTTGAGAGATATTAGCTGCAAATGAAAATACACGACAAAGTGATTGATTTGCATTCCCCATTAATTATTTAACATACTGTAAGTAAATTTATTTTAGCACAAAAATGGTTTGATCCAAGCTATGTTTGCAATTATCACGAGAGATAGTTAACTCTTAAATCACTAATGCTAAAATACAATAAGAATTATAATATTTAGTTACATTTAATTATTATTACCTCTAATCCTATTATTAATTTCTCATGCATAGCATCTTGCATATGAGTATGCCCAACGGGGAGCATTGCTAGTTCTTGCTGCAAGGAGAGAGGGTAGCCTAAATCATGTAGCTAATCGAGCTCGTGAGCTTGGTGCTCCAGATGTTGTTGCAATCCGGGCAGATGTTTCCATTGTAGACGATTGTAGAAGGATTGTTGATCAAGCCATAAGTCATTTTGGACGCAGTGAGTTGTGTTATATCTATACCTAGCTAGCTTAAACAATTCTCATAAACACATCTTTTGGCTTTCAAAACATCCATTTTGTGATTTATTTACAGTGGACCATCTCGTCAATAATGCCGGGGTAACATCAATTTCGTTGTTTGAAGAGGTTCACGATGTCACCTCTCTTCGATCGGTCATGGTGAGAAACTTAATTGCCTTGAACCATCACTTTAGATCCATGCTTGATAGCAAGCATAAATATTGTCGGAATGGAAAACCTAGTCCCACATTGAAAAGTGTTAGATTGTCTTGAATATAAAAGCTGATCTCACTCCAAGAGTTTGACAAATTTTGGGAAATGCTTAAAATAAGTCTATGACGATTTGACCTAAAGTAGATGATATCATACTCATAGAGCTATAGAGTTAATAGGCAGTCTTAACACACACAAACACATCTTCAAAAGGTTAAGATTTTAATAAGAATATTCTTGTTTATATTTTAATTAGGA